CTTTGTTTGATTGGCTGAATTATTGGACAGTTGAAGAGTCCCGAACTGTGACAAAAGAGCTATCCAGTACTCCCAGGTTTTCCAATGGATCTCACACTGATGTCAGCTCATGATGAAACCCATCCAATCAAGCAAAATGCTTACAAATTTATCTGATGCTCACTAGCGACTGGCCCTATTCAGGCAGTTACCTGGGGTTCCAGTGAAGAGCCGTGACCAGTAGAGTACAGCAGGTTGAAGGTGAGGCAGTAACTCCTCAAAGAAGACATTGAGGAGTACTCGTAGTATGCCGTGAATTGGCAGAAGCTAGAATTCATGGGCTGCTCATTAGATCGGGTCCTAGGGTCTACGAGCTCGCTAGCCTTGTAACCAGAAGGTCCTGGATTCGAGCCCCGGTGGGTTCGTACTGCTAAAGAGTCCAAAATTCCAAGGTTTTCCAATGGTTCTCTAACTGATGTCAGCTCATGATGAAATCCTTCAACCAATTAGACTAAGAGTAGTCAGCAGAAGTTCGGAATTTCATCAAGCTACAGTAGGACTGGGTCCTGTGCTACTGACAAGATTTACAAGTAGTATATGGATGCAGATATAAATATGTAATATTCTCTGCAAGAATATTGAATAGTGGAAAAATGGATTTAATGGAGAAGAGTAGGAAAAACGACACTCGTAAAACAAAATGGAAAACATGAAAGGAAGACGAAGAAGTAAAACGCTGAAGACAAAAGTAGGATTATGCCGATGATATACGATTTTAAAGTATAGCAGATGTCATCATGAGCTGACATTGGTTAGAGAACCATTGGAAAACTTGCAGGGAGTACTGGACAACTGTTTCGTCCTAGTTCGGGACTCTTCAGTATTACGCATCCTCTGGCCCTATTCAGGTAGGTAGTTACCTGGGGTTCCAGTGAGAAGTCGTGACCAGTAGGGTGCAGCAGGTCGGGTGTGAGAACAAGGACTAGCCGAAGACACCAGCTAGCGGTCGCGCTATATCGTGAATTGGCATAAGTTAGAATTCAAGGGCCATTGGATCGGGTCCCAGTGGCTCAATGGTCTACGAGGTCGCTAGCCCTGTAACCAGAAGGTCGTGGGTTCGAACCCCTGTAGTGGGTGCTTACTCATGAAGAGTCCCAAACTAGGACGAAACAGTTGTCCAGTGCTCCCAGGTTTTCCAATGGTTCTCTAACCAATGCCAGCTCATTATGAAATCCTGTAACCAATCAACCAAATCCCTACAAACCAATACTTGTATAACAGATGTATTTTGCCTATATATGCGTATCGAATTTTCAATAAATAATTCCGGCGATAAAGACTCATGTGTTCTTCCGTTACACAGCTATCCATTATTTCTGTTTTTACAGATTTAATTCAGACCTAGCTAAAAAAGGTTACTTGAAAAAAGCAGTTAACTGGTCTAGATTTTATTGCGTGATATAAATGTCTCGTTATTGATTTTTCAAAGTGAAACTGATAGAAATGTCTTTCCTGATGAAACTACCAGTGTTCATCTCATGATCGCTTTCACCTGAAAAGTAAAGTGAAATAACAGTATCTCTGACTATCGCTTATATACGATTAAGAATGAAGTCCAAAAGGACCAATCAAAAATATAGTACACATGAAAGATGACAAATTCTATGGTACAACATGCCCATTTAGTTCGGCACGTTAACAAAGAATTATGCGCAAAAGTTAATTAGTTGAAGATCCTTAACTTCTCAACAGTGCAGAAACAGAGAGCATTTAGAAATCCAGAGATACAGCAACTACTCTGAAAGAGTAAGAAAAGGGGAGATATTAAATCGAATTTGGAGAAAAAATATTGAAAACTTCTTGGATGAATCACTTGAAATGTGGTTTGAAAACTATTTGACTTAATAACTGTTTACGAAGCCTGATGCTGTCCATAATCTAACAAATAATAATTCATATTCTGTAATCGTAGTGACCTAATAGATGAATAACAGGAAGTCCATAGAAAAAAAAAGATGACAATGTTTTCCTGTCTTCCTGAAATATCAATTTAGTAACATTAAAATCAATGTTGGTTATGAGGCAACAGTTAGCAGAGAATATTTGGAATACTGAAAGCATTTATCCTGCCTTTCTGAACTTACCAAGTCGTAAAGATATCTACTGTTTGATTGTGCGATGTTTATTTAGATATACTATTCACTGATTCTTTTTATTACAACCTTAACAATCAATGTCGTCGGGATGAGTTGAATCTACTAATCATCAATTTTTTTCTTTCCTTCACGTTCCCTAGTGGAACATAGGGTTTCAAGCTAGTGGCTTGAAGTTTCTGTAGCAGTGTTTTATATATTTTTACAGGATGGTGTTGATAGCCAGCCTCATGCCCAACCTTTCCTCTTTACCAGGATTATTTCTGGCTTAGCGAGGTAAAGGAGTGTGTCGGTGGCCGGAGATCGAACTCTGGACCATGTGCATGGTCGGCGAGCGTCCTAACCACTATGCCACCGACTAATCATCAATTTTTAGAAAATATTTGTTTGGTTTCTATTGATATTCTCATTACTAAATTTTTCTAAGTACCGTTGCACTCTTGCATTTTAATGTAGCGAGTAAAACAAGGATGGTTCACATAGGAGTAGTGCTTTTGTTATCGTCTTATCTTCTGATTTCTCTGGAAAAACCAAACTTTCGAATCGCAGGCTGATCAAAATTTTTTACGACAGTCACTATTTGTGACAAAAGTTGTTGCGAAAACTTTAGCCAAAAGGGATTATATGGACGTTAATAAATGATGCCTACTCGCTACTGGGTGCATACAGTTACCTGGAGTTCTAGTAAGAAGTGGTGATTCGTGGGGTTCACCATGTTGGGTGTAAGGACTAATACTCACTGATGAAATTAGCTGGTGTTCGCATTAAAAGCACAGATTGATTGGAACTTATGGACAATCGGATCAGGTCCCAGTGGCTGAATAGTCGTCTATGAGCTCGTTTTGAAGCCGGAGGTTCTGGGTTCGAAACCCGGTGGGTGAGTACTGCTGGACAGTTCCGAACTAGGACGAAATCGAAGTCCAGTACTCTTTATTTTTCCAGTGGTTCTCTAACTGATATCTGCTCATGAAAAATCCTGAAATAAATGAACAGACAAGTTTCTGAGATAGAATTGTTACCAGTCTTAATAGTGCCCAGCAGTTAGGGCGATGCTTACACTGAGTTGAAGAGCTGTAATCCAACAGGAACTCAGTAGTAATTGACATGTTTACATGACATAACAATTAGTTTTTAACAACAGGTAATAGTTCAGATGCTACGACCATGTAACGAAAACACATGATATATTATTGTTATTCACTTGGGTTTCGACAAGGAACATAGGGCTTCAACAACACATCTCCACTTTGTTCTATTTTCTGCTGTCCTGTTCATCTGGGTCCACCATGTCAGCCTTGCACAGACGACTCGCTCGTCACTTCCCAGTTGGATTCCACTTAAGCCATAGCCTGCATTACGCTCAATGTCATTTGACGGTCTCCTCAGCGTATGTCCAATCCATCTCCATTTTCTTCTGCATATTTGTCGAGCAACCGGCTCTTGGCTGGTTTGTTCCCATAGTTTCTTGTTGCTTATTCTTTCTGGCCATTTGATCTTCATTATGGAGCCGGCGAAGTGGGCAGGTGTTGATGAAAGTCTTCAACCTATTGGAAATCCTGTTCGTGATACATACACATTAGGTTTCTGACCCGTATACAAGGACCGATTTCACATTAGTGTTGAAAATTTGAATCTTATTCCTAAGTGCAGAAGACTTCCAAAATGGTTTCAGGTTGACGAAGGCGTATCTCGATTCTTTTTTTTTTTTGATCGTCCAAACGAAGAAATGTATTTAGAAACCAAAACCAGCCGATAGACGAACGCTTAGCTAGCTAGTGATCGTGCACGTTACACGACGGGGTACCAAATGGCGGGGATGCTTGACCGGAAGCCTTCAGCTAAACAAGTCGACTTAAACAGTGGTGGTCAGCATCCAATGAGTGATTGCTGTGGTCAATAATTTTGGGGAATTATTTACCGCTACAGCTCACTCCCCCCCTAGTGGGGTCGTGAGGACCCTAAGACAGAACCAGCCGGAAGTAAAAAAAACTCGATGGTTCCCTTTCGGGTGAAAAAAATCTTCCGAGCGGCTTGGTCTTATGCCTACTGGTTTGTCTGCCTATGCTAATGGGGTGTTTGTACATAGCTTCCTGGTGTTGTTCGTTGGATTCCGTGCTTCGTTTGTTACCCGTCCAGTGCCCGTCGCACCTGGAAAAGAAAACAAGAACGCTAAGAACCATGTCGAGGAAAATGTACGAAATGACCTTTTTGGTTAAAAAAAAATTATGTGCATTTACTATACAGTAAAATAATGCTAAGTTCAGTATCCGATTCTGGTAGGCTTTGACATCTACATCCGTTCCGTAAAATGATTTACCTTTCCTGAATCCAGATTGTTCCAAGCGGAGTTCGGCATCTGTGGAACAAAGTAAGAGTTTGTCTACAGATTAATCCAAAACATAAAAGGAATACAACGTATGCTATTGTTAGGATGTGCCCTAAAAATAGAGAGACTATAATAGACCGATTTATACTTTATTATTTTTTTTCCTTCACGTTCCCAGTGGAACATAGGGCTTCAAGCTAGTGGCTTGAAGTTTCTGTAGCAGTGTTTTATATATTTTTACAGGATGGTGTTGCTAGCCAGCCTCATGCCCAACCTTTCCTCTTTACCAACATTATTTCTGGCTTAGCGAGGTAAAGGAGTGCGTCTGTGGCCGGGGATCGAACTCCGGACCATGTGCATGATCGGGGACTTGCTAACTAACCGCTGTGCCACCGACGCACATACTTTAACATGAAAGCCATAATTGGATAGAGAATTTAACGAAATCTGAAAGTTAACCAACAGATTTCTCTAGAACAATGGCCAAGAAGAAGAAGCAGAAAACACAATCAGGATATGTTTGTTTAGATTTCTAAACTTTTCTATTTGGTTACAAAATCAGTATTATTATTATCATCATCATCATTTTTATTACTTTTGTTACGACAAATATTTACATGTTTTGCTTTCAGCCAACTAGTATAGTCAAATTCCAGACCAAGACGCTTTAAAGTAGTAGAAAAGTAGGTAGGTAAGTTAGATGAGCTGCAAGTTAAAAAGTAAAAGTGAGTTGTGCGATCTGGAGAATCATTCGATTTTACATGTGATAGCGATAGAGAACTAGACAAATCTAGTGGAGAATTTACATGTTTATTTTCAAAGATATGTGAAGGCTTTTTAATATATGGTCGAACACAAAGATTAAGCGATTTTGTATAGAAAGGAATAGGCAAATATAAATGTGAACGATGAATATGCACAGGTATATCTTGTGAGTTAGTATTTGCATGACCAAGAAGTTGTCGTTGTTTTGGAGGAAGAGTATAATCCAAACGAATTTTACTGGGATGTAGTACGACAGGAAATACTCCAGTATTTACAAGACGCGAAGCCTGTCAACAGGTATAAATACAAAGAGATATAAGGTTGATTACTATCAAATAGTAAATCAATTCAAAAGTGCAATACAAATATAGGAAGAGCATTTAACAAAGTACGAAATTATTCAAACAACTTATTCTGAGTCGAATAAGATATGGAGACCGATTTGGAAGTATCATCTAGACTTGTAAGGAGTCAGTCATGACATGAAAAGAGTAGTAGTAAATGATTTGGTTTCAACACCGAGTGATATGAATTTGAATCTCTGAGTGAACATGATTTCCACTAAGGTTGAAGATACTTCTTACCTATAACTAACTACCAAAGAGTATGCAATTTTGGTCCATGGCTTTCCTCATTTATTAGCTTCCAGTAGAGAACCCAATTCATGTATATTATACGTAAACCAATCAAGTAGAAACACTCATTGATTAGATACTAGTAACTAATATGATGTGTTTAGTCCTGCCTTTGGTGCAGACTGATTTCTTTCAGACACGTTGCAAACCTGACTGATAGAATTCAGTGTGGACTAGTTACTGATTAGTGTCCAATCAAAAATATACAATATAGCCCTACGGGAGGGGTCGATGTCGAGCCCAAATAACTCAGTGGTAACATCTCTGACTGCAGTAGAGGATGGTGACGCGGGTTCGAATCTCTGAAGAGACATGAGTCCCTTCAAGGTTGCAGATACACCTTGCTAACCTGTTGAGTACCAACTAGCACAAAACCTAGATCCCAGCAAAGCTTCCTGTGGCTGACTGCCTCCAACCATCTAATATCATCAGAAACACTCATTCTTGTGATGCCTTAATCTTCTCGCAGCATTGAACAGCGTGAATAGTTCATAAGCAAGCACTAAATAGGATTTCCCAATAAACATCAGCTAAGGTACTCTCGATTAAGTTTTCCTTGTGTTTACTTGGACACACCACTGACCTGTTAAACATTTAAGATTGACATAAATCAAATAGTTACTTATGGTGATTTTTTATTTATGATTTAGCATATATTAAGAAATTTCATTTAATGTGTTAATCTGTTGGAGATAATTCAACTCAGGAAACGGGACTTCTGAGAGTTTAAAAATCTTGAACAGTCAAGCGTATTTGTAGTTTTAGACAGTTGATAGAATAAAATCCTACTTATTTGAAGCACAATGTGTTTCTTCTTTCCATTAAGGGAAACTGATATTACAGGATATCAGCGACAGTACTAAATCATGTCTAATGTTACTACTTGTTATTAAAACAAGCAATTCAGAGAGAACTCTTATCAACGAACTTATTACCAAGCTGTACAATTATATATATATATATATATATATATATATATATATATATATATACATTATATCCGGTGAGTGAATTGAATAATAATGTCGCGAGTGCTACTGCTAAGATTTGCCAGTAGTATATAAAGAGACGTTCGTCAGCATAAAAACATCAAATAACAGGGATATAGGTTACAGAATTTCATCATGAGCTGACATTGGTTAGAGAACCATTCGAAAACCTGGGAGCACTGGACAGCTGTTTTGTCCTAGTTTGGGACTCTTCAGCAGTACGCAACCACTACAGGGGTTCGAACACATGACTTTCTGGTTACAGGGCTAGCGACCTCGTAGACCATTGAGTCACTGGGACTCGATCCAATGGCCCATGAATTCTAACTTTTGGTCGGGTGTGAGGACAAATACTTGCAGAAGACATTGGTTAGGGTTTGCGCTATGTCGTGGATTGGCAGAAGTTAGAATTCATGGGCCATTCGATTAGGTCCCAGTGGCTTACTGGTTTACAAGCTAGCTCGCCTTGTAACCAGAAGGTCCTGGGTACGCACCCCTGTAGTGGGTGCGTACTGCTGAAGAGTCCCAAACTAGAACAAAACAGCAGTCCAGTACTCCCAGGTTTTCCAATGGTTCTCTAACTGATGTCAGCTCATGCAAAATAATAAAAGTAGTATGAAATCCAATTAAAATGTTCCTGATTATAACCATAGCCAAATGTCAAGTGGTAAAACAATTAATGTCACATATAAAACAATTCATAGAATGTATAGATGTTGGAAGGGGATTAGTAGGATTAGTAGGCAAATAGAATAGTGTGTTCACCTTTTTGTGCGTCGGTGGTACAGCGGTTTGGACACTCGACGACCATGCACATGGTCCGTGGTTCGATTCCCGGCCGACTCACTCCTTAACCTCGCTAAGCCAGAAATAATCCTGGTAAAGAGGAAAGTTTGGGCATGAGGCTGGCTAGCAACCCCATCCTGTAAAAATATATAAAACACTGCTACAGAAACTTCAAGCCACTAGCTTGAAGCCCTATGCTCCACTGAGAACGTGAAGGAAAAGTTTTTTTCAAGGCAAATAGAATAAAAATAAAGAAGTTGCGTAACATTGTGTGAAAATCGATGACATAGAATTTAACATTGCAAAACAAGTGGAACAAGGGAAATAATACGGGGGATAATTCAAACTGAGAACAGTAATAGTAACAATTGACGTAATAGAGGAAGAGTTTACAAATTTGATTGAACAAAATGAAAATTAGATAGAGCCAAAATTTGATTAGAATTTACTATAATTTAGCATAGAGAGATTAAAGACATGAAAGTTGAAGGGGTTGAACGAACTTTCTCTGTATACAGAGATCTGGATTCTCTGTTTCAATAGCCAAAGCTTTGTTTTACAATGTTAAATTCTATGTCATCAAATTTCACACAATGTTACGCAACTTCTTTTTCATTTTTATTCTATTCGCCTACGAATCCCATAATTTCACACCCCTTCCAACATCTATACATTCTATGAATTGTCCTATCTGTGACATTAATTGTTTTGGCACTTGACATTTGACTATGGTTGTAGTCACAAACATTTTAATTCCATTTCATACTACTATTATTATTTTATGTATTCACACCTATGATTCAGTTCCCTCATCGGATGTAATCTCTTAAGAAAACCATACATACGATTGTACACAGCTTGATAGCAAATTCGTTGAAAAGAGTTTCTTCGATTTTCTATATGTCCCAATGGGAGTTTTCCATGAAGTTGTTATTTGTTAAACTATACTTTGACGAATTTAATTGACCAACAGTTACTCTAAATGTAACTTTTTAAATTAAACAGTTCACAGATTAAGCATTTACTTATTACTTCAGTATTTTTCTTGCTAAGACAATGATTCATTGTACAGTTAACAAATATACTCGACTAATTTTTGTGCTTTTATTCGTAGACTTCCGAGTGGAGCATAGTGTTTCTTTTACGGGTTGGGGTTGGGTTAACGTCACAACTAACCTTGGCTCTTTCCCTGGCTTATTCCCGGCTAGCAACAAACTAGGTGAAATTTAGGAGTGCGTCAACCGGGGAATCGAACCCACGCCTTCCGTATGGCTGCTGAGTAATCTACTATTAAACTTACCGAACTATGCTCAAGGTTAAAAAAACACTTCATTTTAATTTATACTTTCCATAAATCGATACCACAATGACTTTAGTTTTCCGATATACCTTATGGAGACTGAACGAAAAGTGTTTAACGCTAATATTTAGGACTAAGGAAATTCATTTCTTTACGTAAGAAAGGCTTACTACCCCATGTTTGTAAGATTTAATAATTGATTTGTTTCTCTTGTGTTTTTTGTTACTGAGGTAAATATGGGTCGAATAAAATATTTCATATTCTGTGTCCATATTTCTCTGTATTATTTCCACTAAGGGACTACATTCTGGTAATTATCACGTTAAAAGTACTTCTCTTACACTTGAAAAACGACTGAATTCATATGGCGAGTTGTAAGACGATTCAAATGAACTCAGATTCATGCATCTGACTTGTAATTTACTAACAATATAGTATGTCAATAACTTAGTAACACGCCTTAGATCAGCAGCCCGAGAAGTATTCGATGTTATGATCAAATAGGATTTTCTCTTGAGCTCGAAATTATCATTATTGCAAGAAGCCTGTAAACTAAAATTCTAAATTCTACACTAGGGCTAAGATTACAACACATAGATAATTTAGAATACAATACAATATTGAATAGATAAAAATCATTCCTAGAAAATAATTAAATCTACTTGAAAAGTTTCTCCAACTACAGAACATCCTTCATATAATAGATAAACTTCTGGTAAACCACGAAAAGTGCTGTTTGTTTCAAGTTCTACAAGACTAGCATTATTATTATTATTGCTTTCAGCAATAGTTGTATGCTTGACACGTTTTTGTAAGATGACACCTTTCCTTTTTAAACCAGTGGAAATTTCGTCCGCAGATGGTCTGTAAAATATAAGGTAGGTGAATGAGAATACAATTTAAGCAGAAATACTTAAAATACATCGACATTAAAAAAACAGCAACACCAAACTGCATATTAAATAGCTTGACGGTTTGCTTATTGATATGTATCCATATAATATGTGTGTTTGTTTGATAGCCTGATCTTGGTGATATATATCCATATAAGATGTGTGTTTGTTTGACAGTCTGATATATTTTGCTATGTATATATGGATCGATATTCCATTATAATTAGCCAATCATGTTAAGACTGTCTATTGATTTGTTCATTTTGAATATTCGCTCACACACTTGTTCGGACATTCATATATTTGCTCTCACACTCTTGTGTGATATTGATTCTCCTTTTGTTTGGAAAATAGAAGTATCATCGCAAACCTAGTGGTCTTCTGATTTCCGTCTTCCATGCGTCAGGACTATTAAATTCTCGACCAGTACATAACACTTATCAATAGTAAAGCACAAAAATATACACAAATGAATAATATTTAAGACTTTAGAAACGTTAACTCTTAGTGTAGCCATTTTCATCCTCAAAGTTTCATTTTCTCAAAATAAACACACATGCCTATTTACATGAATGTGTTAAGTGATCATTCTTGAAACCACCTGATGGTAGGTTGTTTTCATGAACGCATTAAAAATGATAGTTTTATTCAGTTTTTTTTTATTTTGTCACGCTTATTACTATTATTATTCCCTTGGGTTCCGAGTGAGACATAGGGCTTCCAACAACACATTTCCACTTTCTTCTATTTGCTGATGTCCTCTTCAGCGGGTCCACGATTGACCAAAGTCTTTCATCTCCTCTCCACACGATCTCCTCCATGTCAACCTTACACCGATGATCCACTCGTCACCACTTCCCATTGGGATTCCACTCGAGCAATGGTCTACATTGCGCGCGATGTTATTCGATCGTCTCCTCAGCGTATGCCAAAATTCCATTTCCGTTTTCTTCTGCTTTGTTGATCAAACGGTTCTTGGTTAGTTTGCTCCCAGATTTCCGAATTACTAATTTTTTCTGGCTATCATTTGATCTTCAGTATGGATTTGTTACGAATACATAAAAAAAGGAAATAACTAACCAAAATTATGATGCTTTGAATTCACTGAACTGATAAGCCTAGTCTAGTCAAATATTTATATAAAACGGTATTATGGATTACATTGAATTTTCAATCGCTTCACTGACGCCATTTATGGTGTGACATGAATATTTTAATTTTTTTTTAATAATAGTAACAGCTTTATTCCAAACGGTATTTGTGGTACAGGTGTGGAATTTTCAGCGTGCATTACAGTATATTGCATCTAATTACCTCATAAATTATATAAGATTTTTAAAAATCAAAGATAAATAAATAAAAATAAAATAAATAAGTTATAAATAAATAAAAATTAGAAATTAAGAAAAAACAGCGTAGAGTATTTCATTTCAAACAATGCACCACAAGATTTGAAAATAAAAAGTTGATGTGTGGTAGAAGATGAGAACAACAGTGTAGTAGTAACGAGGAAAGGAAAACAAAAACTAATGGGACTGTTTGTTAGAGTGCCGCAGTAAGTTGATCGTGTCATACCTAACGGATTTCTCATCACATAACAGCTGTGCCAGATATGGTATTGTGGAGTTTTTGTATTTGGTAGTTATTCATAGAAACTACACTGAAATCTTGCCTCAGACTATGTACTTCTCAAAACCTAGGAGCAAGCAACATTGTTAATTGAAAAAAAAACTGTTGTCACATGAAATTAAGGCTTGTTAAAACTTTCAAATTATTACTGTAAATATATTATTCACTCAATGATAACATAATGTTGGACAAAGGGGAAAATATTTTCATGTCAAAATAATATCACGTTTGAAACAGACAAACGTTGAATTAAACAGTTTATTTGATTATAAACCAGAGTTCAAATCCCTTCACATTATTTACTTTACAAGTTAGGCTAATTTTGTATTAACTATACAATGTTCACATTTTTGTTATGCATTGTCAACAAATCAGCAACGTGTCTGTTACTAAAGTCATAATCTTCCACCGAATAAATACTGAAGTTAACTGTCAAGTGCAGCACAGTTGATATATAAATATACTTATAATTACGAAACAGGTATTTTACTGCACTCTTGGTTTGTTTTAATAATTAAGTGCAACATAAGATGTTGTACTTTTACATAAATCGATATAAGTATCCCTAGCTATTTTGCTAATGAGAAGCAATAAGCTAATCCTTATATAGAATGAGGTAATAAATAGACGTTGCCGACTGGAGATTTAGAATTACTGGATCGCGACTAGAGTTTCTACGCCTCATACCGACTGGAGGTAGAAAGTAATAAAATCAAAGACACCCGAGTGCAAATAATAAAATAAAGTATAAGAAAGTTAGGGAAAGAAAAGAAAGTGAATAAAGTGTAACAACAGAAGACAAGGGTCAGGCAACAGATCCTTTATTAAGGAAATCAACACATATTTGTAGATTTTCATGTACATTATTGTTAGCAGAAAAACACAGTCTTCTGATTGGTTCTTTCTCCCTGACAGTTAATCTTTCATCTCTTTGTGACTGTTTCTTGAATATCAGATCATCTATATGCTAACTGTATCAGCCTACACAAATCCTTTGTTCTCATTTTCCCACGACCAACACTTGGGACATAAACATTGACGTAAATTAATGTCTACCGATTCGGCTAGCAGCTAGCTCTCACCACAAAAGTAACGAATAGTGAAACATTACGACACGTACCTCCCACTAATCCGAAATGCTTATCAAGCTCCTACAAAAAAGTCTATACTTTCCTTGGCGAAACAAACAAAGAGTCAGCGATGTTATTTGGTGAAAAATACCCAGCAGTGGAATCCATGGCTTGCATTTCGTCCTATTTGGAGGTACTTGAGATCCCTAGGGAGTAATGGTGTTCCCGGACCCAGCACCTATCGTTTCAAACTCCGAGGAGTTATCCACTGGACCACTTGGGACATGACAGTCATCTCTTGTGGTCCGGCAGATAATAGTTTGGCATTTGAAACGGTGGGTACCTGGTTCGAGTCCCAGTGAGAACACCATCACTCCCTGGGGATTGCAGGTGCCTTCAAATAGAACGAAATGCAAGCCATGGATTCCACTGCTTGTCTGTCATTAAACTTGACCTGGAACACCTAAATCATCATTCAGTTGCAATGTGGTTGCTTCTGCATCTACTACTGTATCGAAAAAATTCTCTATCACAAATGGACATGTACCGACAGGTTGGAAGGAACATAAGAACATCATTTTTTTTTCAACAACAAAAATACTGAAAAAAATACGTAAAAATCGCTCTTAAAAAAACATAACATACTGTACAATCAGGCCTCTTTCAAATTATATCAGAGAAATGCATCAATGCATAAATGTTAATGCATAAAAATCAAATTAGCCAATAAATGCAGTGATTATTACTATTATTATTGGGTCAGAAGGGAAACTAAAAAGTTACGTGAAGCGCAAACAACTTGAAGTGCAGACACAACAAAACATTTTAAACAAAGGAAACAAAGCATAAAATTGATTATTAGAGAGAAAAAATAATAATTTTAGTAACGAATGGTAACTAAGGCCGCTTAAAAAAAGAATAATGTAGGTGAATCAACCAGTAGAAGCTACTGGTTGAAAAATCAAAAGATTTATGACATATTTTAATTTATATGGTGAAGAGAAGGACCATCGTTTATACGGACACACAACTGCTAAAGTGATGTATTGAGGTTTGGCTGATTTAGTTGAATAAATAATGAAAGGAGTATGCTGAGTAAAGAGATTAGTAATTGTGTCTGCTTATGCAACACAAGTTATATGGACAGTTTAAAGATACAAACGTGTACCATTACAAGTTACAACACGATGACGGCTTGATAACGAAGTTTTACTGCTAATTGGATGGGATTGTGTTAGTAATAAAGTATCCCCCCCCCCAAGTAATCGATATCTCAAATATGTTGTCTCCTTTTTCTTCAGCGAAGGATGAGTTAGTAAACGTTAATAAGAAGCCTCTGGATTCAGTTTAGACTGACTGTGTTCCTGACTCGTATACCATGATTCCATAAAAACCAACAAGGTTGGAAATTATCAAGATATTTGTTGATATTCATTTGTGGTCTCCTCCATCATCGTGTCCAATAAAGACAATTCTGATCGAAAGCCGCGAAGAGATATTATTTATAATTAGAATTTTCAGTTAGTCAGGGATATATGTATGAATTAATCACAGGAATCTTCTATGGGAATACCCATCTCAGACTTAATAGCTGAAACAGTTATGCAGAGGACTTGAGTTTTTGATACTATTAAATCTACGAGTACAGATTCGATAGGTGGATGACAATTTGGATCTCATTAAAGCAGAAGAAATAGAAAATGTTTACCAACTATTTAATAAGATGTAAGAACTCATACAGATTACCGAATTCAAGAATAGTATAGTACTTCCAGTTGAACTGATGAAGAGGATGGTAGACTACAAAAGAGCAAATTCACATAGTTTCTTCAATACAGCAGCAAAGTGACAAGAGAAAAACTGTAAAACAACTAAAATTACATCGATCGGAAGGAGAAAGAAGAACCGATTAATGTCAAAAATCTCTTATGGATAAGATTTTATTTTGATAAATCACACACAATGTTGTACAGTTATGTTAACTGATGACGTTTCGAGCACAAACTATTGCCACTCATAATCATATCAAGTTACTCACACAACTTTTCTCTTTCATTTATATACATGTGTGGAATCGATTAGAGTAACTTGATATGATTATGAACAATAGTTTGTGCTCGAAACGTCATCAGTTTATATAACTGTACAAAATAAAATCTTACCCATAATGGAGTTAGACTCTACCACAGTGCCCAAGTTTTATACTTATATCAATAATGTCAAAAATGTTGAAAAAGAAGAAAGTCACCACTGAAGTCAACTGAAGTGATGTTCACCTATCCACGTTAATACAAATAATATTAAGCTAGCGTCAAAACTTTCACAAAGCAAGAGGATAAAAATTAGCATGTATACGATAATTAAAGGTCAAAAATTACACTAAACATTTGCTTACCTATAACCAACACAAAGATGATCATTTAATGCGTACGAAGCAATTGGGAAAGAACTTATTTTCGAATGCATTTGATGAGGCCTACCCCAACAAACAACTAGAAGTCTTTGATATAACTCCCATGGTGCCTGTTCAATCAGAAATAGAAAGCATACATAACACATGTCAAATCTTATAAAATTACAGACAGTTTTACTGTGTTAAAATAAAGACTCAGCCCCCTAACAACTATAACGCTGAATTCTATTACAGAGAATGATAATCCACCTTAAATAGTTACCTGTTCTAAGAAGAAACAAGAGAGACTTCTAACATTTTATACACACAACTAAGGTAAAATAGAAACAAAAGAAGAAAGTTTTTGACATTTAGCTAAAAACCCATAAGAATTGAATAACTTTGAAGGAGGTGAAGTAATATTCTTTACATCCATGAGGATCAAAATTCTTCTAAGAGAAAGTATGCTGCTAGCAAAATTGTCAACAGTTTATATGGAATGTGAATTGCACCATCTGTTAGTGGAGAATAACTTTCCGAAACAGGATTGCACGCATTAACGTCGTCAACAGTCTTCCTCTACTAAGAAAGATAGTTGGGAGTTATTTTTTTAGACTCACTGAACTCATTTCTCGTTACAGGTCTTTTATGTTCTAGATTAGGAGCCACACTTAATGTCTAATGGTCAACGATACTACCCAGTTACTCAGACTGGAGTAAAAGGCGGTAGGATTCGGACTTGAGACACTGTTGGCTGAAAGTCAAGTGTTTAAAGTCGATGGACCAAATCTTTGTTAAGTATAGGCTAATGCTTCAACTTGTATTTAAATTATGTATATTCAGTATATTAGGAGGAAAAAAAGGAACATATCCTTATGATCTCTGGAGTCTATATTTGTTCATTTCTTATAGACAGAATTGACATTCCAGAAAAGTACTCTAGTAAAAAGGTATTTAACTATTTAGGTGTATTTTAGATGAGTAGTTCATTTGATTTAAGCCATATTCTGTCAGTTATATGAGCTCTCCACCTTACCGGAAGGTTAGGTAGCTATACCTGACTATTGATTTTTGAATAACAAACGAGTATTGTACATAGTCCACTGCGTGAACCTGTATGTAAATGTTAAATTTCGACTACTTGTATCATTATTCTGTTTAAAACTATGTGAAATAAAATGAAAACCAACTGCCCTTAGATTTAAAAGGAAAAAAAATTACATCAAGTCTGAAATTAATGTCTATCGACCCAGTATCGTGACACACTACAAAATAAAGTAACCAATCAGAAAATGATACAAACCTTTTTTCGGTTTACTTATCTAGAGGCAAATTATGAAATTTCTAATCAATAGATAAAATTAAAGTGAATATTATTTAACAAGGAATGACTGTTTGAAGAACTTTCTTTAGGAGATGGAAACTCAGATCACAGTTAATATAGTGTAATCTGGATGTTGCTGTGACTTTATGGTTCAGATACTCGTTCCTCAATATTGCGATTAACTAGTTAGTATAGTGCTTGCACAAGTGACCAGCTGGGAACACCGGGTGTTGCCGGATAGCTCATTGGTAACGTCTCTGATTGCAGAAGTGGATGATGGCAGTTCGAATCTTCAAGGGGACATAAATTCCGTCAAACTTGTATATACACTATGCTGACGACTGTCAGCAACCACGAAACTTAGGTCTAGGATTTCTTGACAATTATCCCCAACCACCTGATATATGACCATTTCAGTTGGTGCGTCAATGGTTCATTGGTACAGTACTCGCCAGAGTTCGATCCCCGGTCAATGCACTTCAAAACCTCGCTTAGTCGGTAGTTGGTCAGGTAAAGGGGGAGGTTGGGTGTGAAGCTAACAGTCTCACCCCGTGAAAATTAAAAACCACTCTTACTGGAACTTCAAAGCTCAAACTTGAAGCCCTATATGTTCCCTTCAGAACGCAATGGGGTAAAATAAAATAAATAGGGAATAACACATAGTTGTATTGATAGAAAATCAATCTAAATAAAGTTCAATTTCAGGAACCTTTTGATTAGTTGTCTTTATGAGGGATAATAATATGGATAAACATAACATTGTTCCAGGGTTTTGCCATTGACTGATTCCACTTTACCACTTTTTCTCCATATAAGCATGGCTTAGACTATTCGAGATTATCAAAGCTACTGTTATGCCTAATTGACAAATTATGATTTTTGCCAAACCATTTAACATAACTTTGTACATGACATTAAAGGGGAATTCTCGTGAAGTAGCATAGAAAAAGGTGGATCAAGTTTTCGAGGATTGAGCAGTTGGTTGATCTGAATTCTCCACAGAATAGCTAAGAAGAATAAAAACCCCATGTATTTGAAAATAAAGCACTTTGTTTAGCCCATATCACTAACATCATAATAGAACGTAGTCACACACAAAGAGCCTGAATAGACGAATTTTTATAGACGCTTGCTGTAATTATCTACTGAGCAGATAAGCAAAGCAGTGCATTCTGATTGGTTAAGGCAATCTATGATTGAATAATTTTGTAATAATAGTATACTATTTGAATTTAATATTCATGGACAGAATCCTTGCAGGCTGACTTAATATAAATACCATTGCAATGCCTCTGAAAATCACTTCTCGAGTAGAAAGTTTCCTTCACTGAATTGTGTTTTTTTTGTTAATTTTATTACTACTTACTTAAGCAGTTTGTTTTAATAATGACTTCCTAACATACTCGTAGAAGTCACAACATTGAGTATCATGATGCAAAAGAATTTACGAATCTACCAATCATCAGTGTACACGCGAGGAAATGTTATTCTCCATCACAAAGTGTAGTTTTAAATTGTAGTCATGCAGAACTGTAGCAAGTCGGTTTAGACACTAGATTTTTAACCAGCTTCTAATCACCACGTTCCACCTACTGAGGTATGGGCGTTCATGTGCTATCGTCAACCTAAATCAACGATTAACTGGTTGTTAAGTGTTTACAAATGCAAATGTTTCTCATCTAACATCGCATTCCATTCCAATGAAGAAGGAACAAGTAATAAAAGAACTACAGAATAATACAGGAAAAAAACAAGACTTACACCTCCGGCAATTGCTGATTTATAAAACTGACGAGCAGCAGCTGTATACTTTTCATTTCTTCCCAATAAAATGAGACCAGAATAAGCAGCTGGCAATGCTTCAATAATATGCAACTTAGGAATTTCAACAGTACCATGTGAATTCTTTGACTCGTTGCTCAACTTTTCTTTTGGTTGATTTTCTTCCCATGATGTTAATATACTGCTCAGATGTTGTAAACAATCGTTGACACCAATATTTGAAGGGGAGAAAGCCTGTTAAGAATGTCGACAATTTCATTGAAGTGAAGAAAATGGAATAGGGATTATCTTACGATAAAAAGTAAAAAAGACTAATTCGTCGTATATATATATACCACCATTTTCCGGCTTTGATGTATATGTACACACAGAAGTACCTCTATGGATTTCTGACTGACAGGGATGAATATCCTGTCCAGAAAGGGTCTAATTAGCTAGGGTTTTTCACATATAACTAAAATGTTCCAAAATAGGGTCGTCTTCTAAATACCAGAATTAAAAATCTAAATATTATTAGCATGTGTCTAAGCACCTATAAAATGTCAGATAATATCGTAGAAAACTTTACTCCAATATTTAACTTGAGGTGGATAACATGAGAATATTACAATTCTTATCATTTTCGAAATCTTAAAGACCTTAACTAGATTTACTTACTTCTTTCATATTCTTTTTACTTATTTTAAATATCTTTCTGTGTTCATTTGCTTTTCCTGTGCAAGTACCTAAAACTTTTGTACATCGCTGCAAGGTTATAAATTAGTTAATCTAATAGTTAGTGTGCGTCGGTGGCACAGCGATTAGGATGCTCGCCGACTATGCACATGGTCTAGGGTTCGATCCCTGGCCACCGACGCGCTCCTTTACCTCGCTAAGCCAGTAATAAAGCTGCTAGAGAGGAAAGGTTGGGCTTGAGGCTAGCAACCCCGTCCTGTAAAAGTAAACACTGCTACCGAAGCTTTAAGCCTCTAGGTTGAAGCCCTATGTTCCACTGGGAACGTGAAAGAATAAAAAAAATAGTGGTATAGATATTTTCAAGCTTTAATGGGGTAAAGTTTCCGATCAAATATTAAACCTTTCTTTTTTTTCTCCTCACATTCCCCAGTGGAACAGAGGGCCTCAAGCTAGTGGCCTGAAGTTTCTGTAGCAGTGTTTATTTTACAGGATGGGGTTGCTAGCCTGCCTCATGCCCAACCTTTCCTCTTTACCAGAATTATTTCTGGCTTAGAGAGGTAAAGGAGTTCGTCGACTGGGGCTCGAACCCCGGACCATGTGCATGGTCGGCAAGCGTCCTAACCGCTATACCACCGATGCACCACAAAAAAAGCCGGCAACACCAGGTATTCCCAGCCGGTCACCCATGCAAGTACTAACTGGGCCCAACGGTGCTTAACTTGGGTGATCGGACGAGAACCGGTGCTTTCAACGTGGTATGGTCGCCGACAATATTAAACCTAGTTTCGTTTTATCTGATTGAAATTAGAGGCTTTTGGTACATACATTAAGGTTAACAAACTCAAAAACTGAAATAGCGTACACAAATTTGAGTGAGTCAGTAGGAATAATTAATCCACCTAATAAATTCCAGTTGAACCACTTACTACATCGTGGATTCATATCAAAATAACCAGTTATGATGACAACTTCTGGATACAAATATAAGGAGGATGGCATTTATCAGAAGCAGTTCAACTCGATAAATATTACAAAGTTTACCATTAGAAGAGAATACACAATTATTAGTCTCCACTTGTTTTATGTCACAGTATAATATATAATGATCTACCTATCAAACTTAGATGTCATGATAAAGATTGGTTAATTGGATGGTATCACGATTGGGATATTTTTCTGAGTGTTAATTTTCGGAACAAAAATTAGATAAAAAACTAATTTTACATATAATGACAAATACAAAAAGAGAGGCTCATCTTCTCTCACTTATCATATGGTGTATCACCCGAAGTATCTAATTTGTCACATTTCTTCTCATAAAGCATTGAATACTTCATTGTATCTTGTAGAGGATATCTGTCTGTCTGTCTGTTTTCGACATAGAACTTTCCACAAATGTGCGGAAGTTCGAGTCGCCACATTCCGTGTAGCACGCGAAGCAAGAGAAGAAAGTACAAGAAAAGCATAATAGAAACAGTGAGCAGAGGTGTGAGACAAAGGAGTAATAAAGAAATACAAAACAGTTTCATTGGAGATCATAAGTCACAGGGAGTGGATGCATCTGCGCCACTGAGAACGGTTTTGAGCCATGTCACCAATTGTTTCCAACCATTGATTTTTACCGTCCCAAGGACCCCAGCCTGGAAGTCTACACCTTCCTACGTGGCTTAGACCAACTGTTGTGGATTTCATTGACTGATGCCAAGTTTTTGTTTGACCACCACTAACTAGCTCTTTTCCAGCCTGAGCCTATATCCGCTAACATTGCTCGTCGAGGGGGGCGATGGCTTGGCATACGTAACACATGTCCTAACCATCTCAGTCTTTGTAACTTCACGACTTCGTCGATTGATTTCCCCTGTTTACCTAGAACTCTACGCCTAACCTCCATGTTGCTCACCTTATTATGCCACTTTACACGGGAAATAGAGCGCAGGCACCTATGATCAAAGACAGTTAGTCTTTTCATGTCTTCCACTCTCAGTGGCCAGGTCTCACAACCATAAAGGAGGACGGAGCGGACTGATGAGCAGTACACCCGCCCTTTGGTCGATAGTCGAACATCTCGTCTACGCCAGAGTCGGCGTAAACTAACAAATGCGAAACGAGCCCCCTGTATTCGTGCTGAGATTTCGTCAGAGATCAACCCGTTGGCGTTGGCTGATGGCACTTCCCAAATAAGTGAAGCGGTTAACGTTAACGGTAGAGGATATAATTGGGAAAATTAGTTTTTTTAGAAACATCAGTTCCTAAGTGGTTTAATATTTAGCTAAGTTGTAAACTTCTCAAAGTGACATAATATGTTGTAGTTACAATAAATATAACACGTTTGTATATCGATTCACGAAAATATGCTGTCGAAAGAGTACATCTTAATATATACACAGAGTGTGAATCCTGTAGATACTCAATTCAGACATTTGCCCATTTGAATTTTGATTAGTCGAAAGAAGCAGTATTTATAACAAAAATTATGAACAGTTTTTTTATACCTCAAGTGACAAAAACAACAGAATCCACTGAAATTTAAGTTATGTATAAATGTAGCAGTGTGGCGTGTGCTACTGATAAGATTTATAAGTAGTATATAAGAGACGTTCATCAGCGTAAAAACATTAAATAGCAGGGAGATAGATTTGATGATGTCAGAGAAAGCAAATGATACAGCGTTGCGGCAAAACGTAGGAGACGTGAAAGGAACACAAAGAAACACAATATGAAGGCCAGAAGTAACACAACACAGATCTGTGAAAATGGTGATTCGAAGAAACATAAGGTGTACATAATTTCGCTATAAGGAGATACCGAATTCCAAATAAACCTTCCGTTACCAAGTCTTTCGTCGTCAACCATTACAGTAAAGCTGCTAAGCTTCCACTGATATATAACGGTGCCATTCTACCTCATTTACAAGACACTATTGTTAATTTATGTGAAAAATATGACTCTTTTTCTTACTTTCGGGTTGATTATCGAACAGGCTTCACGATTGGTTAATGAGTGTCCCCAAACAGAAAGATTAGGTGGTTTATCAATCACAACAAAATGTTCACTCATAGCTACTACATGTTGGCTAAGATAATGCGCCAATTCATTTGGATCCGTCCAAGATAAACATTGTGGATATGATGGGAATTCATTATCTGTTTGTTTAGTAGAATCTTCACCAATATATTGATTGATTATATTCGAATACTGACGGAGATTACATCGACCACTGTTAAACTTTGAAAATATGAATGATAATTTATCACTGATTTGTCCAATTCGAACACTAGAGAGTGTATGCAAATTCATCCGTCCAAGAGACATCGTTTTAACTTGGTTTATTTATCTATAGTCGGTAAAATAACAGGAATATAAAGAATACATATACACAGAATAAGATGACGAAAGTTAGTTAGAGAACCATAGTTTGGCACTCGTTAGTAGTGCGAACCCACAGCTCTGCAATCGATTAAGCTGAGAATCGTGAGATTTCAAACTGAAGACGTTATTATAAACACCAAATTATTTAATCGTATTCTCACAAAGGGGCTGTGTTTTATTCACAGTGCGCCCGTACTAAATATACGGTCAGAAACTCTACAAACTACATTTCCTTTATAACGGGGTGGGGTTGCTGGGTTCACAGTCAACCTTCCTTCTTTTCTAGCCTCATTACCAGTTATTAAACTGGGTAAGATCTAGGAGTGAATAGACCGGGAGTCGAAACAGGACGTGGCGCGTGACTAGCAAGCATTCTGCCTTTGAACCACCAAACTATTCACTTAGGCAACTTTAGTTCATTCCAAAGTACCATATAAAATACGGAACAAAAGTTTTTAGTTACGACACAGTGAATACTATGAATCATTATGGTGTGCTACGCGTAGGATATTATTACGCTACTGAAATCAGCATGTGTGAATGACTTCATCTAACTATAGATTATCATTATTACACCCAGGCAGAATCTGTTGAACATGAGAATTACGTACATGGCAATGTTACTAGTTGAAAAAAATAGGTGAACGGTATCAATTAATTAAGCTAAAACCAAGGTGTTAATAACTCATCCAACATCTTATAAATGTTGTAGTTGTCACTTGTCATAGGTTTTGCAGGACATCATTATGAAATGTATTAACATCTGATATTGTCAAACGTGGTAGACAACAATGACATAACAGGCTTTCAGACTTCGCATTAAGACAATGGTTGAAAGCTGACTGAGCAATAGCCTAGGACCGTTGCCATCAGTCAACAAGAACCACCAACAAATAAATAAACATTGCTATGACAAAGATGATTTGCCTCATCAAGCTTTTAAACCTCATTATGATTGTATATCCAATCAAACAACGGATGTGCTAATGACAGAACCAATTTAGTAGTGATTTAAGTAGAGTCACCTAACAAGTACTCAAAGAAATTATACGGAAATGAATGCGAATACGAGAGAAATCTCCCGTGGATCGAAGTTTAGGCAGAATACTCCAGAACTGCAAATGATATGTTTTCGAATCCAGAGGTAACTGTGTTGGGCATTTCTGAATATGAAACTCAAGATGCGCACGAGTTGGTTGAGAGATGTTCCCTGAATATGCAATAGCCTGTCATTTATGGTTTACTACGGTGCTAAGTGAATGAACAAGTTGAATCAATTGAATTCAATAAAACACAACAAACAGTAAATCTGCAGCCTGTCACTTTACATTACATCGCAGTATGCTCACAAACAAGCTATGCTGCAGAACCACATAAAAATCCTGGTAAACAGTTTCGAAATGGACAAAGATTTGGTTAAGAAAAGCTCCAAAATATAAAGTTGACAAACAGACAATCTACAGATGAAAAGGGAAATTGAAACAGAGAGGGACATATGTCCAGCTCACTACGTCATATCCAAAAACCGAACTAATAACGTTTAGTCACCATCACCTCCATAGCTTCTCTGGAATATGGTGTCACTAAGACATAAGCAGTTTCGGAAAACAGCATAAAGCCATTGATAAAAATATTTAATTAATTGGTAGGGTCAGGTAACTCTGAAGGGTTCGAGGTCGTAGGAACGTGTGTTACGCACGTCATGCCATAGGTTATTCTAACGTCAGTTGGAGTCAAATAATGTTTAGACACCCAGTCCTGAAGTTTCATATTGCTGGCCTTAACGATAGTGTGATCCCTAACACAGTCACGAATACCCGCCTATAAATAATTGGCTGGTGGTCGCGTTAAAATCACGAAATGGTAGAAGTTAGAATTCATAAGCCATTGAGTGGCTGAAATCGCCTACGAGCTTGATCTGTAACCGGAAGGCACTGAGGTCGAAACCCGGTCGCTGCGTACTTCCGAAGAGTCCCAGACTAGGCCGAAACAGTCATCCATTGCTTCCTTGTTTACAATTGTTCTCTAGCTGACATCAATCCGTGATTAAACCTAAGTCATGAACGCGGTTTGGAGAATCTAAGGGAAATCGAAGTATCACTTGCTGAATGTTTGGTGTTTTCCCACACTTCACAACTGCCGCTGTAAATTAAGTTTAATCACCAGTAAAGATCGGGATATCTCGAGTTGTACGGGCAAGCAGAAAGTTAGGACTCTCGCCAACCATGCACATAGTCCGGGGGTTCGATCCCCTGCCAACGCACACCTGATATCAATGGTCGACTTACGAAATTTGGGCTACCGATATCCCACGCTGTAAATTACGGTGTGGAATCAAGCTATTTTATAAAAAGATTGCAATTTCCGTGCATGGTGAGATTCTCTCAGGATTAATATGGCTTCCAAATTAGATGAGTCGTTCAACGTTCTCAACCATTTCGCTCCCGATTATCAAAATGTACAAACAAGCTCTGTAGCTATGATTTGTGCATAGAAGGCAAGTGTTTTGCCGGAACAAATAACAATAAAGGGAAATGATAGACTAAAATATAGATTCAAGGATTTCCAAAAAGGTTCATCATTTTGTGTTTTCACTGCAATAGATAAAAATGACTGCAGGAAGATAGAATAGATAAACGAAGATCAGTGACAGTATTCAGAATTTCAGTGATAAGGAGTTAATACATACAAATTCTGTTCCATTAACTTCTTGACCATGATTTTAATTCTTCATGATCTTGACTGCCCAATTTATTCCATTTTTCAGTTCTGAAGCTTATCACTTGATTTTCCGTACAATTAATTGCATAATTTGGTCAAGCACGCAAAATCAGTAATGAGTATCCACTGAAATATTTAAGTTTAATCAAAAACATATTGTGGCGTGTGCTACTGACAAAATTTATCAGTAGTTTGTAAATGCAGGTTGGTAGGAAGCAGCCAAAACCGAAAATGATATTTTCAGATAACAGTTGCAGGGGTAGGAAGTGTTTATTCCTAAAATCTGGACCTGGTTTGCGTTGTGGTTAAGAAATAATCTCATTGGACGTTCTGTCCCAAGGCTTAACCTTCGGTAAAATCACAACCAATCAGAGCAGTTTGGTGTCGCTGACCTATCCGGCTTTTACTATAGTTAAAAATGCATAACATTGTGTTTTTGCTGAATAAAAAAAATCGGTTACTAAGTCTTTTGTCTTCTCCCATCGCAATATCACCTTATAGCTTCTTCCTTTGGCTGTGTCAAAAGAATCTTACCAAATGTTAGTAGTACTAATCATCATAGAGGGTGTTTAGAACCCATTCACCTGTAGTGTATGTGCTAGGAAGGTCTTGGTGATGGAAGTACATAACAGCTGTTTAACTCGTTTAGAACCAGTGAGTTTGGACTAACCACTTCAGAGAACACACTATTCAAAGAACTCTAAATCCAGCTGGCTCCATGAAACGAATGGTAAGAAACTGAGATCAAGTGTTTGTAAAGGGCATAGTTTGGAGTGAAGTGTATTACCATCGTTTCTGCAAGAAACTCAAGATATCTATGTGTGCTTGACACTTGAAAATATAAATGTTACACGATTTACACTAAAGATTAAATTCATTGTTGTGTTATCACAAAATTCCAGGTGAGTAGATATCATTTAAGTAGTATAGTATCAAAAAAGTCCGTGTGTATGATGATATATCTACATTTCACTATAACCGATCAATTAATTTTTGTTTGCATTCTACCAGATAATTATTGGTGAATTCATTACACATTTGTATTTTAAATACCCAAATGGTTTTCTTTTTCATAGGTAGACATCAATAATTATTAATTCCGATTGCATAGAGGATTTCACCATGAGCTGACATCAGTTAGAGAACCATTGGAAAACCTGCAGGGAGTACTGTACAGCTGTTTCGTCCTAGTTTGGGACTCTTCGGCAGTGCACACCCACTGACAGGGTTCGAGCCCAGGACCTTCTTGTTACAAGGCGAGCACGTAGACCAGCATCACCATTTAATGCCAATAATTCACAGCGCACAATGATGGCGAGCCGCCTCCTAGCATGGTGGCCACATTGCAAACTTGACTGACAGAATTCAGTCTGTACTAAAGATAGGGGGCTAGACACATTACACCAGTTACTGACTAGTATCCAATCAAAATTAGTAACTCACATCCTTTGATAGATAGAAGAATCTACAGGAGTATCAGCAGATGAAATCCTTCCATATCATCCCACGCGTGTAATTTCATCAAGATTACTATCACGACTACACACAAATTAGTTAAATAACAAACAACATTTATCCTTCAATAGAAACAGCTGTTTCACTTTTATTTAGCCAAAAATAGTAGATATTGTAAACACTGTTTTAGTGAGATAACTATAAGTGACTTATTTATAAGGAAATATTCTATACTCACACTTAATTTTATAAATATGCCTAGACCATTCACAATCACTAGTTTAAATGAAACTAACATTCCAAATTGTGTTATGCGTTTCAATGTATTTTTTTATTAACTAAAGTTGAGAAAAAAGAGAAAAATATCAATTCAACCTAATGTACATTGAACCCAAAGTTAAACAAGACAATGAGAATGACAAACAAACAGTTATAAGCAAAAAATATATATATATGTATATATACAACAATCATAAATGGCAAAAACAAGAACTTGTTAGAGAATATCTATAAAATGTTTATTTCTATTATTGATATATATATATATATAAATATAAAATTAACCAATCCAATATAAATGAATAGATACAACCTCAAATGTTAGATATTATCAAATAAATGTGTGTTTTTTAACGAAAAAGGAAACAAGAAAATTATTTTAAATTCTAAAAGTTCAACAAATAGATGGAAAGAAAACAGAATATTCAAAACAATAAAACTGATGGTGATAGTAATAACAATAATAAAAATGGAAGTTGATAACACCAACACCTGCATACCACGCTACAAATATTGATCGATCGTTTTCGTTTATTAAAAGAATTTCATGTAACAGTAAGGTGAGGTGTTTTCGCGCACAGTATAGCAAACACCACAAGAAACATTCCAGTTGTGTAAAAGAAAGTCGATGAATGAAACACCTTTAAAACAGTTTCAAGCCTGACATCGAATGTGATTACTAAGCGTTCCTCTGAACATGTAATACAAAGACCAACTCTACCTGAGAATATTCAAACAGTAATCGACCGCCACCTCGCTACCACCAATTTCAGTATATTGAAACAAAACGCGGCTAATTTGTTCTGCAATAACCTTATATCCTTCTCCGTAACACTGCAATGCATGAAAACGAGTAATCCATACTTCAAATATTCAGTCAATAAAAATATGCAATAATAGTAATCATAATAATAATAAAAGGTTCAGTTTATCCTTCTTATATCAAGCAATCATCTTCTCATGGCACAATTTTTAAACATACATAAATGCAAATATTTTGAATATAAATTTCAATTTTTAAAAAAATGACAAACAGCATTGGTAAATAAGTAGATAAAATAGCGCAAAGGTGAAACACAACAGTTAATATATATATAATTTAACAACAACTGAAAAAAAGAGATTTTTGTAAAATATAAATTTAACTCTTGTAAAACGAATGTTCAACAAATTTGTTTTGAGATGTTGATGTGTACTGAAATGTACTGACCGGGATCTAACTAAACCAAAATTAAAGACATATAACACATATATCTATATATATGTGTGTAATATAAACTTTTGATAGCAAAAAACTAGTTGAACAAAACATAAAATAAGAAAGTATCGTGTACAATATAAGGCAACAGAAGAAAACAAAGAATGAGCGCTTTAGCAATTTAAACGATAAGTAATAATAATAATAATAGTAATAATGACATTTATACTCCTTTATGAATTAAAAAAAAAAATTATGATAGAATAATTTATAAAGAAAATGCAAAGTTTGAAAAACAATTCCTTCTGAAATAAACTCCGATAGTTAATAATAATAATATCTCGGCGCATCTATAGCTTTCCCATTAAACAAATACAAGCTAATTTTAGGGAAAAAATGAGTACATATTACAAAAATCCGTGGAAAAATTCCATAATTCTGCAAAACTTACTATCGAAGTCGACAGAGTGGGGGCTGCAAAGAAGGTAATTAATTAGGCCTACACCTTTTTTCGATAACACCGGGGTAATTTAGAAAACAGAAAAAAAAGTACAAAGGCATAAAGAAATAAATAATTTTACCAAAAATCAAACTTAGACAAATTTATTAAGTTATCAAGACACAAATGAAGCGACAGTGTTTGTACCTAAATGAAAACATGGGTTATGGCAGAGAAAGAGAATTACAAAACTTAATATTACGAAAGAAAAAATAAAAAAGGGGCAGAGAAATAATAAAAATAAAGTATAATGACATTACTGCTGGTGACACCATACATGCATACATACAAATAAATAGTGGATTTGCCTTCTTCCCCTTAATGCTGATTAACCGGTACATGTAGGCTCAACTGAGTCAGATGTTTAGGCATTGACAATGGTTGAATGGTATCCAGCTTTAAAGCTACATTTGAACTAAATGAAGTTGTGTAGACTAGATTGCCTGTATCATTCCTACATACTGATGATAATGGTGCTGCAATTGTTTGTCCTAAAGATGATGCTGGAATATAAGAGTTGAATGTCCCATTTGTTTGATGTGTACTTGTAATCCCTGTTCCCGGTATTAAATTGTTCACTGGTTGTTGTTTCGCTTGCCATTCTAATAAGTGAAGAGCATTATGAAGTTGCGGTACAGTACCAACTAGAAGAATACCGCCAACACCAGGAGCATAATAACCGCTAGGTAAGCATGTGAATTCTGGCGATTTATTTTGACCTGGCAAAAATCGATTGTAACTATCATTTGGTACAAATAAAGTCTTCAAAAGTAAACAAAACCAAACAAAAGTGGTTAGTAAACTCAAAATATGGTAAACTAATTAACATTGAAAAAAAAATCCTCAATAAAAAGAAATGTATTATGGATTCCACTGCCAACCACTGACAAATATATAGCGCGATGATTTGACTATAGCCAGCATAAACGTATTCACAGAAAGGCAGTGTAAACTGGTATAGATCGATAAAGCAGATTCTTTACATCAAAGAATGTAAATTCCAATAAACTAATGATACCTGTTGTATAAGACACAGCCACTGTACTTTTGTTTCCCCAGCAGATGTGTGTAAGACTCTAACTTCACTTGAAACAGTGATGCTTATCAGAGAGAATCACTGATCGAATTTACGTTGAAATTAATGAAATGTATACAATCCAAACAACTGAACACTATGAAATGACAAACCTTCAAAGATTTATCGAAATTCAAAAAGTAAATTGTACAACTATGGGGAAAACTGAAGTGTATTATATTATTTCGATAGTACTATCAAGTCAAAATAATTTGATGCCAAGATCTCGCTATGAATGTGACGTAGTGTGGTGAGAGCTGGCTGCTAGCCAAAATTGGTAAACATTAATTTACGTCAATGTTTAGGTCCTCAATATTGGTTGTGTGAAAAATGAGAACAAAGACTTTGCGTAGGCGGATACAGTTAGCATATAGATGATCTGACATTCAAGAAACAGCCACAAAGAGATGAAAATTAACACTCAGTGAGAAACGACCAATCAGAAGACTGTGTTTTTCTGCTAACAATAATCTTTAATAATGTACATGAAAATCTATAAATATGTGTTGATTTGCTTAATAAAGGATCTGTTGCCTGACCCTTGTCTTCTGTTGTTACAATAGTACTTGAAAAAGAAAGATCCAATAGAAGTAAAACTGACATGAATTTACTGGTTACAAATAGACATCTTAATGCCAAACAGGTCAACATTCTGTGACGGTTGCCCCTAGAATGAGTACTAACTTTCCAAAGCACTAACCGGTAACCATTGCTTCTTCGTTTGCTATTTATTAAATATTTATCTTTAAATAGATAAATTCGAACTTAAAATGAACATCAATATAAAACTGACCAACCTGAGAATCAGATTTCTGAGAATCTATTACCAAACTTTGATTAGAGCTACATAAAGAGCCTTTGGATTTTTGAGTACTTGAAGCAAGTGAGTAGACTGATTCAGGGGATAGGACTGTATGAACCTGCGATATCTGGTGATGGATTTGTTGTTGAGGCTGAAAGAGATCAGTCATAAAGTCCTCTGTGGATGACTGCAACTTGACACTGAGTAGACTTTCTGTCAAAGCGGAATCAACTGATTCTCCGCTCAGATAGCGAGAATGAGACGGGATAGTATCACCGGATATTATGAAAGGTACAGTATGTTCTTTTTCACTTCCAACCACTGTTAGACTTCTATCACCCAGTTGACTATTTGACACGAATAAGTTGGATTCGTTATCCACCTTTGTTTCTGCAGTTGGCTGGTTTGTGAATGCTAATGGTGGCGGCGCCAAGGTAATCTGAAGATCATTTGAAGGAAAATAAAAACAACTCTTAAGAATACGGCGTATCGTAGAAATCAGTCTGCTATACATGTTTCGAAACATAGTAAAACAAAGCTTACTCGCCTCTTACAGTCATACTGTCATACGACAGGGATACAGAGACGTATCCTGTCGTATGGCAATCATCATACATAACCACTTAGACTAATTCTTGAGAATAGTCGGCTAACTTAGTGGTTGTTATCGAGACAACTTTTAGATACGACAAAAATACATATTGGCAGTCGCAAGCAGGTTTAGTAGACTTAAGGTAGGAGCCACACCTATAAACCCATACAATAAACTCTATGTAGTCCATTTTACTATTTTTTATATTTTGCAACCCACTTTCAATCCTTTGAAGTGAAGCTACTGAAAGAGATCTTTTTGCTGACGTATATGCTCTTAATTACATGATATGGGAGCTTTTTCATACGTTAGAGCCATATCTGCTAGACAAAGGGTAATAATACTACCTAGTTGCTTAAAAATTAATATCCAGAGAAGGGATTTGATTTACACAATCAGAGGCAATCGGTCACCGTTCTAAAAAGTGTGATCAAATAAATACTGACACTGAAATGAAACGAATGTATTTTAAACTTTCTGAATACCCGGGAAAGTGCAGGATATGACACTTAGAGAGTGTAGGAAAGTAGAAACCTACACTGGATAGACATTTCTTGATATCTACCAGAACTTGTTGAAACGTAAATATTCAGTTAAACAGTGAAAGTGACCTGAATAACAAAATCTATGTTTAAAAAAAATTGCAGACTGTATAATGAATGAATGAATCGTAATAAATTTCGAAGAATCTAGCAACATTAAATAGTTCTACACACAGAATACAACTTTTTAGCAATTTAGTTCAAAAAAAATTTTTTTGATGAGTTTTAAGAGTTAATTAATGAATGAGTGATTACAGAGCTAAAGAAGTGATTCAGTGCTCTGGTAAATATATCCCACATGGGAATTCCAGTTATTCTGAAAAGATATAAAATTAAAATATACCTAATTTACCTGTTCATTCAATTTCATAGGGCATTGTAGGATACAATTTTGTGCACCACATGTACGTAGCAGAAAATCTTGACAATGGATTGTAGGATGTCCCAGATACATCATTTGATCTAAAGTCACGTTAGAATGGAGGGATTTTGATTGATCAATCGTCAAATTCGGTTGTATTATGAACGGATGACTACCAGTGTTACATTGAGGCAAATTAACAATATGATTAGCATTATTCAGTGTTAAAGGTTGGCCAGTTGACGTGAGGTGATTCACTGTAATATAAGATAGGACATTAAACCTGTTACTTACACAAATTTTCCTATCATAGAGTTAAGGCTTCAAGAATATTATATTTTTGAATGAGTGCCTACTTGTATGATAACGTACTAATCTACATTAAGGATTTCAGGAAAGCATAAAATTGAACTCACTTGGTTTTACAAAGCATATGATGTAACTTATATTTATTTAAAAGTAGGCAAGTAAAAAATCACTAGAATCTTTGTTGAGCAGAAGACAAATACAGTAATACGTTTTATTCAAACAGGTGGACTATAACGATGAAGTTTGTGGTGTACAAGCATATTTATTTATTGCCTTTGACAAGTATAACTAATGAAGACAGTTGTATAGGATGAGTATAATTCGACTAGTCCACCTATAAAGTATGAACAGACAATTATGTTTGAGGTGTGCCTACTTTGAGTGACCTTAAGGAGTAGCAAAGCGGTATTTTACACTACCTGAATGTAACACAACCCCCTGAAAGAGGGATAAGACTCAAAAAATGCAATTTAGTTACTCAAACGCTATATATATATATATATATATATATATATATATATATATATATATATTACGAAAAGGCATATTACATATACCATAAAGAAATTATTGTCTACTGAAATTAAATTGAACCTTAATTAAATGCGTGTTACTTTTTTAGCCATACGATTTCGGATTTCATCTAGTGGGCATAAATAGAATTATATTAAAAGACAATTCGTATGTGAGTAGCATGACAATCCTCTTCGATATTTTTTAGCGCACTGAAATAATTTAATCCACTTTCGTGGATGAATATCACTCGAAAACATTATGATGTGTTACTTTCCAACTAACAGCTGGTTTTTTAGAAATGTGGTTTTATAGCTGGATGCTAAAATATGGATTCATCAGGTTGATTAGGAAACGAAAAAAATAACTGCATACCTGTACCAGACGACGCAGTATTGGCATATGGTAGTGGAATGGACTGATTATGATGAAACTGACCGAATTGGTTTGGGATCGACGCATACTCTCCAGATTCAGACGTTAAGTTAGGTAAACTATTATCAGGGAAATTTGGGACAGAAATGTCAGGAGTGTTGACGAAATTTAAATCCAAACCATTCGGATTTACTGAAGGTTGGTAGGCCATTGCGAACGGAGAACCTATTGAGAACGCGCTAGCGATTGGCTCTGTGATTTGAGAGTAAGAACAATTTGAATAATAAGGTAAGTCAGGATCTTCAAGCATTTTGTGCATTATCATTTCCACCGCCTTTCTTCTCTCTTCTAATTCACCTAAAATCGGAAAAAATACGCAGTGGATTAATTGCATGTTATTACGATACCACATCACTTCCCACCACATTAAAGTATCAACCAATGAAAGGAATGAAGCCAATGGTCTATTTAAAATACTACGTACAAGTGTTAAGAAACAACTACGTTTACGCATTCTACTTCATGAAGTATTGTAACAACAGAAGACAAGATCCAGGAAACAGATCGTTTATTCACGAAATCAACTCATTTATAGATTTCCATGTACATTATTATAGAATATTGTTAGCAGAAAAACGCAGTCTTCTGATTGGTTCTTTCTCATTGAATGTTAATTTTTCATCTCTTTGTGGCTGTTTCTTGAATGTCAGATAATCTATATGCTCACTGTATCCGCCTATGCAGTCTTTGTTTTTATTTTCCTCACTTGGGACATAAACACTGACGTAAATTAATATCTACCAATTTGGCTAGCAAACAGCTCTCACCACAGTATGACCAATCATCACATTCAGATACGCTACACAGAAAGATGGGACTGTTGCAAGATCTTCCTTAATTATCAACAGTAAATTTTGGAAATTAAACGAGAGCCGATTGCATTTTTACAGTCAAGACAACTTTTTTCAAAGTATTTATTCGCGAACCACGTCATAACACTATTTTATTTGATTGGAAAGATTGACATCTTTGAGCCATTGGACATAGATGTCATCAATCCAAGCAAAAAAATGTTCTCAAAGACCAGCTGATGGTCCTTATTCACACTAGATTAAAACGACTAACAGAGATAATGTCCACCTGAATCCACCGCTGATTTAACTTTGATATTGGCTGTCAATGACTCTTTAAAGTTAAATTTGGTACTACTAATGGGGTGGTGGTTATTATAGAGCAGTTGGAGCAGACGATTATTATAAGTTCCATAGACCTTTGTACTGCTCAGCCAATTTAGATGAACACAATAACCACTTTTTGACTGTCAATATCAAGAAATTCAACTTGTTTTTGAGGTAATGAAAGAGATGAAGGATTATTGCACACTAGCAGAGCCCAGAAGATGCCCATTTAAACTGAGTCACATGCGGCCTATTACTTATTAAGATTTGTAGAATTCCGTCAGTATTCGCGGTTATGAGATACCAAATGGTGAGACATGGTAAAACTATTACGTTCAAACTCCTACCTCAGAGTTTCAAGCCAATAAAGCGGGTTCACTGGTCGTTCAAGGGCAAAGTCTTACAGTCAATACAATCCATCCAACAGCAAGACTTCACTCTCCAATTCCAAAATGAGATAACTGTTTGTGGCATTCAGCTATCCACTCAACTTTTCATGCATGAAAAAAGTTTAAGGAACACTCATTTTAGAAAGCAGTTACTATGAGAATCTAAACAGTGGAAAACTTCAGGACAAAAAAAGCTAAAGTATGCAGCTGCAGTTAATATTAACCTACCAGTTATTACAACACATCGCTCGAATAGTCGAATGTCCTTCGGTCTCTGAGAAACTTGAATGAAAGCACAACTTTCTTTTTTTATTTTTTCAATAAAATAACCATGCTTTCCAATAATAATACCAGCAGTACTGTCTGGAACCAGAATTTTAACCTTAATAAACAGCAAATGGTTTACATATAAGACAGCTTACTTGTTTGTGGCGCTCCATACAACTAATTCCAGTAGGAGTTATTATAGTTATATTTTGTGGTCGTTCGTAAATTTTACTCATCACGTAGTCATGCAGTTTCATGCATGATTCGAGTGTGCCAATAATCAAACAAACTCTTTCAGTGGTTCCTTATCAAACAACATTAATGGAATACTCATCTTGGTACCTGGATAGAAGTCATTTGCCCGGGACATTTTGAGTCTCGCCCCAGTCTGGCGTTTAATTGTTTCGACAGCCTCTCCTCCTTTGCCAATGACTGCCCCTGCTGCAGTATTCGGGATCAAAATTTTGAAATACAGTTCTGTGAATAGACAGAGTTGCGCAATTAGTTAGATGAGGTACTGACAGAACAATACAAGTTGTTGCCACAAATCACAGAATACACACATTAGATCATCGTGATAAAACAGGAAGACACTTGCAGTGAAGAGAATTTTCTTTTCGTCAAAGTTATCTATTAGGCTGTAAATTCGTATACATGTAGTAAAGGAGTTTGAAAGTTCCGAAACTATTTCTAATCGAGCGTCAAATTATAATGAATAACAAAATAAGTAGGACAATAATTATTAAGAAGACTTATCGTTTATGATGGCCATCGTATGACAAAGGCAGGACATACTTTTGAATATATAGCATTGGCTTGAACTCTAGATAACTAGTGCTTCAGCTATGCACAGATGTCTTGATTTTGCTCCCTTTGAAAAGTACATGAATTTGAAGGACCTGAAACTTCTACACTCCTTTACTACTATATATACTCGAATGTACAGCCTAGCGGATAACTCTGATAAAAAAAATTCGGCGAAGTTAAAGTATCAGCCAAAGTTAAAACATGTAAAAATTGACCTTCAAGAAGCAATCAGATTTAGGGAAATTTCATTCCAAATGAAATCACAACTACCTTTTTGGATTTGGTAAGGGTACGTACAGTACTCCACACATTCCTGAAGTACTTTTTCTGTAAATCTATACTCTTAGATAGGATTATGGTTTTTAAGATTTAGGTTAAGGTCTAGGGTCAAGGTTAAAATTAATAGTCAGGTTTAATGCTAGAGTGAGGGATAGTTAAAACGACAGTGTCAGATATGTCAACGATTCTCAAAGTACTATGGTCTACAGTCACCTGAATGTATGCGTCTATAGGGCATTGTATGGTTTCTCCGCAGATTTCCGTGTAGCGACTGGGAGACACTTGCCAAGAGTAAGCGATAGACACCAAAGTCAAATGACGATTCGACCAACCACAGTCCAGCATTGTGACAGAATGCTAGTCATAACCCTCGCTACAAGCGTCTCCTAGAATCGGTTTTCGACTTCTCTATGGAAAATGAGTTGACAGGAAGGACTAAAACATGCGTATTTAGATGGATAATGACTCTGAAAAGGTATTGCCGTGGTACTAATGGTTATGCGTTCAAATGCAACCACTTTATATGAGGAAGTCTGTAAGAGTTGGTAAGTAGTAGAAAATGACATTCTAGACACTTTCTTCTCGAAATCGATACTCCCTTAATATACTGCATGTGCGCCACCAGTATCTGTTGCGGCTGCAGAAACGGACCATACACTGGTTTAGTGGTGACTTTAAGCTATAGTAGCCCAAAACAAAACTACTCGCAGAAACAAATCAGATGCGTCAGGTATAGGAAGGCGTAATTTGAAATAAACGTCTATGTACAAGTAAAGGGATGTCATAAAGTAGTTTCATAGAATAATATTTTTGAGTGACCTGAAAAACCTAATTTCTCACAGAAGTCCTCATAGTCAGATTAAACCAATATCTGTATATAAATTCATCCAGGTTCATTTGGCTTTGCCTTGCTATAGTTTAGTTACTGGTTTGGTATGTTTATAACCACTTCTGTGCCAGTTTTCGCGGCATATTAGATATATGATCTAACTTTATTACATATACATCATAGGTACACTTTTCTATCAATTAAGTACCACTTTTCATCTAGAAGAATCTGACTACCTGTTTTAGGGTCGTCTGAAGTTGGTGTCTTCCTTACAATTTCCTTTTCCATCTCAATTCTGATTGACTGTTCAACTTCACTGTGATTTTGGTTATAATAAATTAGCTTCACCGAAAATCCTCTCCGCTGCGATAGTCTTGTTAATCATAAACGATGTATGAATTTTAGATTACGAGGAGAAATCAGAGAACAGGGATTTTTCACCAGCTACTGCAAATGTAAATTCATATAAGTCCCGATACCTATCCTAGAGTATGCACTGTAAAATACTCTACTTAGTCAAACGAAATTGCGAAACAAAATCGCTAAGTCCTGACAAGAAAGAATATCTTGTGATAGATATATATGCAAAAACTGGTTTCAGAGATATAACCAGGATATTATTTTACTCGAAATCAAACAAGTGACGGAATCATGATATCAATCTTTCAAATCTTAGAAGTAAGATGATAAAATCTCAATTCGTCACTATTATAATAAAACGCATCAACTAGCGCAGACCACCAACCTGACATGTATTGCTCTCAAGACGGTAACGCATCTGTCTGAAAGGATTGCAAACTTTACTACACAAGGTCAGTGAACTTAAACAAAGATCAAGAACCAATAGGAAAATATTCCGTTTCTTTCCCACCATTATTATTTTGGAAGGTCTTCCCAGAAATTGATAATATAAACTATGCACTGATTTATGGTAATTAGTTTTGTACTTATATCAACTTATGGTAATTAGCCCTTCAGTGGCAACTACTTCGAGAGTTCAATTCTTATGTGTTTAATGAAATCCATTTACTTCTAGAACGTTTCACAGTAGAGTGGAGTGTTATATGTAGGTAAGGAAATAGATGTCAAAGCGTCCACAATAGAAGCAGCTGCTATAAGAGAGAAAATAAGTGTTGTATATACCTAATAATTAGGTGATTATGAAGTTTGCAGGAAGATATTGGGAGGTGTATATTGAAATGAAGTAGAAATAATATTGGCAGGGATATTCCAATATGCAATATCGTTTCTACGAGCTAGTATAAACCAATTTGATTTCTTTGTGCTCGCCTCTTGATTGTAAGGTATAGGTTCCTGATATTCGGTAAGCTCCTGTGTTGCTCGTCCCGCCACTCGACTGTCGTAGCTTTGGTTGACTCCAAAGGGAGTAGTACTGGGATTAATTATATGTGGTTTGTAGTATGAGGTGTGTTAAGACTGTTACTACTGTGAAAGGAATTCATCCTTTCACCAGTTAGTCCTCCGGTATCTTCGTCAAAAGAAAAGAGAGGATAATAAGAATAATAGATATAATTAGTGAAGTTATTCAGACTAACAAACAGAAAAAGAAATAAGAAAACGTAACAACAGTCAGCTGATTAAATTTGAAGAATAATATGAATAATATATACATATATATATATCGGTAATAATGACAATAATAATAAGTGTAGTTAAAATTGTCAGGAGAGTAAGACGAGAGAGAATGAAAAGAAGTAAAACGACGAGTTTAATCGTCTACCCCTGAATGGTGTATGCGATTTTAAAGAGATAGGCCATTTGGATGCAGTCCTTGTGTCGCTGCATGGTTGTCCAGCCTTCTCTTAAAGGCGTCCACAGACGGTGCCATGGCTGCAGCTGCCGGTAAGGAATTCCAGGGACGGCAGACACGCAGTGAAGAGAAGTGGGAGCGCACCCGGGTCCTTGCCCTCTGATGAGCTATCCTTCTGGGATTTCCACGAGGGTATCTAAGTGTGAACAGGCCTAATTTCTTCAGCCTTTCATCATGGGGTTTATTTCAGAGACCAACCACTCATTTTGTTGCCCGTGTTTGGGCTCTTTCCAAGAGGACGGCGTCTCTTGTAATCAGTGGGGGTGCAATAATATTATGCACTTCAAGGTGTGGCCTGAAGTATGTTTTGTACAGCCTTAGAAAGAGCTCAGGAGTGAGTGCGCCTAACTGTCTATGTGTAAAGTGTATGACCGCATTTGTATTTGCTACATCCCCCGTGTAATTTATGCTTGCATCTATTTTTTACGTTAAAACTAGACCTAAGTCGCGCTCCGACGTTGTGCAGAACAAGCTTTCATTGCACAGGGTGTAGCTTGCATTCTGAAGACCAAAAAATGCAATTAGGCTCTCACTGAGTATCTACATTCACCTCGTTTCGATGATGGGTGTGAAGAATTCAAGTAGCAGATGAATAGCCACAATAAAGAGCACTTTATTTCTGGTGAAATAAATTCGAAGATATGACTAAATACACTCAGCACATCTTGGACTATCATTCTACTTACTCTTGTTTCTTGGACCCAAAGAACTTTATTATGTCCAGTGAAGTCTCTAATCGATAGGTAGTTTTGTTTTTGCTGGTAGCGTGTTTTCAAGTAGGCTTTAGCTGTTTCGTTTCATCCTAAAAATTTTGCGATACAAAATTACATTAACATCATTCACTGGGCCAATTCGGTCGCATCGTTTCGTTCATTATCAAGTAGGAATAATACACAGCTAGGTTTTTGGAATGAATACTGTTTTCACCCAATCCTGTTGCAGAAAACACGTTTGAAATTACGAGATCATGCTCTTCCATCGGTAACACAGTGGTTAGGACTCTCGCCAACCATGCACATGGTCCGAGGTTCGGCCCTCTGCCGACGAACGCCTGATATCTATGGTTGGCCTGCAAAATTCGGGCTACCGATTTCACAAGCTGAAAATTCCATACCTGTACCAAAACTGTACGGTCTGGAATCAAGCTGCAAATCAAAAAAGATAGCGGCGATAACAATATTATTCTCACACCGCTACGACCTCTGAGTATTCAGAAAAGACTGATTTATCCATTGAAACTTAATCACACCAATGAGTCTTTCAGCTACCGTAACTGTCTCAAATAATCTGGTACTAGAGATATTTAGATGGTAATTCTTACGTGTTTATGAAAAATATCTCCAAATTTTTACTTGAAGAGTCAATAATCTTCAACATTCACACACTAAAGGAGTTGCTATCATGGTGTCACCAAAAGTGTCCAAATGCCTAATACTGTAGAAAACAATCCTCTCCAGATTAATGACGGCAAGGTTCATCTCGAAAAAAGGAATTTAGAGTTATTCAATTATACGCGCCTTCAAACAACTCAGAGAGTGAGGAATATTTTAATGGACATCTGCAGGATTGGTCCTGATTGGTGACATCAAAATCTTTATCTGCGGTATGATTGCATACCGAACAAGTTGATAATGCAGGAAAAGAACTCATCATGGATCGGGGAGCTTTCGGTGAAATGATTGGTGACGAGACATTCTTCGCAGACTTCTGTGGCTTCAGTGACCACGCGGTTAGAGATAGAGGGTACAAATTCGAGGAGTTATACAAGATAACATGGATTTCGCCCGATGAACACACCACAAGTCTGACGGACTTCGTCTCAATTTGTCCGAAGAAAGTGGAGACTCCATCCGCTAGACAAAATTTTGAGAGGGAAAACAATTGTGGGCTTAGATTAACATCTAGTTCAAGGAACATTCAAGATGAGGCTGAAATCCTGCAGGACAACCACAGGCAACCCACGATACAAATTTAGCACTCATGATCTGAAGGACAAAGCCAAAAGCGGTGCTTTCACTATAGATCAGATCACAGCGAATTCGAAGTCACTACTTGGCATCACTGGGGGAACCTGTGTGCAAGAACTTTGGAGCTCTCTGAAGATGATGTTCGATGAAACACGCACCACTGCTTTAGGAAAAAGGAAGAGACGAGACAAAGAAATCCTCTCAATGAACGTCCAGATGCCGATCAAGGAGAAGATGATGGTGAAAGAGATAACTCAATGCAAAGATGGACAACATAAGGGGAAGCCGAATTCAATGGACATTGTCGCGGTGAATAAAAAAGTGAAAGAGAGTGCCAGGAGAGACAAAACGAATTCTACGGTACGCTGGCCGGTAAATGAAGCAGAACAGGCAGACCACAGGTACAAGTAACCTCAAAAATCGCATTAGATAACCAGGACACTGTCGCGAAAGGGATCAGTGCAGGTACAACTTAAAAATATGTTCGAGGAAACTAAATCATCAAGAAGGAGAGGTAAATAAAACAGTGTCGAATACTTCAAGGGATCCTTGGATCTACCGTCACCTGTGTTAATCGCGACAGATGGATGGACTGTACGGTAGACTGCCAATCAATATGATGTGACCCTCTTGCCGTGATTATTGGATAATTTAATGTAGCTTACACTGCGTGATGTGACCTTGAGTGTTCTTTGTTTTCTGTCACTTTATTTGTGTGCACATGCAACTAATTAACTGTTCATTTTGTCCGTTCCCTCAATTCTGTTCGGTACGTTTTTGTCTTTTCTTGAGTGACAATTGGTTTATACATTTTTCTTGGTGTAATTTTATGATTTATTTTATGTTTTAGAAACAGATAACGTTTGAGTCAAGTCACTCTGTTTTTAACTATATCTTCCATAAATACCACTACCATCAACAGCACTCACAGAACTGCCTCTTAGTGGACACCAATCCTCTAGCCAAGGCGAAAATTGTGAATGCAATCAAGATGCATAAGTCCAGGAGTGCAGCTGAATGAGACGAAGCCCCCATGGAAACGGCGGATGTACTCACACGATTAGTACAAAATATTCGGAATGGATGAATGGAAGAAAAGCTACCTTGCCAAATCATCAAGGGATTGCGTGTCAGGCTCCTGCAAGAACTGGCGCCTAATCATGTCCTCGTCCGTGCCAATTAAGACACCGAGCCGTGTCACCCTGCTGCGAATAAAAGATGTAATCGGTACAGAATTCCAAAATCCCAAAACAAGCTGGATTCAAGAAAAGCAAATCATGCGTTGATCAAGCCACCACTCTACGTATCATCACTGAACGGAGCATAGAATGGCAATCAAGACTCTAACCCAATTTCATCAACTTTGATGAGGTCTTTGACAGCATTGACAAAGGCGTATTGTGTATACTGCTTCAACACTGTCAGTCTCATTTAACAGCTGGCTATTTGACAGTGCCGAGTTTCCAGTGAGCTTTAATTGAAAGCTCAATGACGCGTTTGAAGGAAATGCAAGAGTAAGACGATACCGCCTACTACCACCGATGATATTCCCAACTATGGTACGGTGGATCATGAGGGAGTCTGTGTTTGGCATGGAGAAGGTAAAAATATTTTGAACCAGAAATTTGATCTCGTGGAAAATATTTTTTATTATCACAAACCTCGAAGACTTGCAAAAGAAAACCAAATAGTTGTTAGAAGGATAAGGCTTTAGAGACAGTTGAACACTGGGAAAACGGATGCGTTGAAGATAACACCCAACTAACAAAGACAATCCCCAATCAATGCCAACGGAGGAAATCTGAAAGAGTCACTCCCCTCACATGTCTGGTTAGCATCGTTCCAAGTGCAGAAGACGGCTAGTGTGGAGATGTCAAATCAGCAATTAGGGAGGAGAGACGGACGTTTATCACTCTGAAATCAGTTTGAAAATGTTCCGCACTTATCATAAAGA